AGTGGCATTGGCACCTCTCCCCCCCACGCGCCCCGCCACCACTGTGAGCCTCGTCAGCCATGCCACCTCTGCCCAGGGCCGGCCCGACACCCCGCACCTCCCTGTGTATTCTCTGCAGGCCTCACCTCCCCAGCTGGCCTGCAGCGTTAGCAGCTCCGTGTCCGTCCTCATGCCAAGGTCGCAGCTTTGTGTGCAGGGCAGCATTACTTGGGCCGACGTGGCTGGATGTGGGTACAGTGTGCCGCCCTTCCTCCCCCGGCTGTGTGGCTGCAGTTCTCAGGATGTGGCTGGAGCTTCTTGATTCTCTTCCTGCCTGCATCGAGGGTCATCCAGAGCCGAACCCCTCCTGCAGCCTTCTGGACCACCTTAACAGCTGGCATTCCTCTGACATGTCAGTTGTCCTTGTGCCAGGCCCAGTGGACATTGCCCTTCAGTGCCACCCTGCCCTCTGGAGACTGGCACACCTGCTTAGAGTTTCTGGCTTCCAACCATAGGATTGTTATATCAAGGAAGTTATGAAAAACTAGAGACCCACCTTGTTTTTTCCTCAGTGGATTTTTTTGGGTGGGAGTTAGCTGTTTAAAAGGGAGTAATGTGTGAAGGGGAGATAGGGATGTATGTTACGTGACCCACAATTCAGTGCCTACATTTAGTCCCCTGCCCCCAGCCCAGTGTCTTCGCATTTTTCCCAGGCAGGGGCTGCTACTGTCATGTTCTGCTTCAAGGGCTGCAGGCTCAGGCTGCAAACAGGGATTCTGAGTCCTCATTCTACCTTCCTCTTGCCCAGAGGGGCTCCCTGCTCTGGAGTCTGCTGGAGGAAATGCAAATGCTGCAGCAGATTCCTGCCACATGGCACCTTCAGGTCAGCAGGTGTAGACTACGGGGCCTGGAGCAGCCCATCCATCCTGTGTCCCCGGCCATAGATGCCCTTCCCAGTGATGTGGCCCAGAGCAGATATTCTCTTGGGAAAGTTTCCTGGTATTTAAGACTTGTTTTTGTATATTTCCTGCATCTTAGCATCAGTTAATTATCTGCTTTTCCCTTCCTTTTACCTGTGCTGAGAGGTCAGCACTGACACACAGATTTTCGTTGGTTTGAGTCTTGTTGAGCACAGACCTGGCGGATCACTGCAGGGAGGCAGGAAAGACTCTGCCAGGGAGGGTAGACTGCTGTTCACACAGTGAAGTGTTACACTTTGATGTGTTCAGGAACTTAGCTCTTGAGTTCTTTTCAGATGCAGGTGTGGTGCACACCTGAGGCCATAGGTGCAGAATCTGAGCATTGCCCTTGGCAGTCAGGCTACTACTTCAGAGGTGGGGTGCCTGGCTCCTCAAGTTAGAGGGTGTCTAGCCATCCTGTTACACGTCTTCTCAATCCACTCTTCTTCTAGGGTGTTGAGCATTATGTGCTTGGGAGTCTCTGCCCCCCAGGTTGCAGCCTCCTCAATCGTGTAGCTGATCGGGCAGTGCCAGCTCAGGAAGGTACCTGGTGGTGAGCCTATTTGCCATTTGTTTGCCTTTCCAGTCTTCTGGTGGTCTCTTGGGACATTTTCTGGATTTTTTTTGCTTTATTTTCACTTTATTTATTTGCTTTATTTATAATTGTCATTGTCGCTTGTGCCCCTGCACCTACCTTGCCACGTGGTGAGACTGTGGATGTGAGACTGCCTGACTCCTCAAGAGAAGCTCTGCTGGGTACACATAGGGCAACTGCAGGAGTCCCTGGGCCCTTCTGAGCTGCACAGCTTCCCAAGAGGCCAGCCCTGTTGAACGCCCACACCCTTGCCACCTGATTTCCTAGATCGGCACTGGGTTGGCTTGTGAGGGGTAAGCCCAGTGGCCTTGCTTCCTTTGTCCTCTGCTGCAAACTGTACAAGAAGACATAGTGGAGGGAAGGGGTGGCAGAGAAAGCTGCACAGCCCGTGGCCACAGGGTTGGGGGACGAATAACAACACACCCTTCCTGGTCTGCACACAAGCTTTTGGGGCACATTTCACATCTAAACCATACCATTGTGCATCTCATTATGCAAAATGCAATTAGTCCATCTTTAAGGGTTGCCAAAGTCAAGACAACTGACACTTTTCCCTCCTGAAAAATCCCAAGAACAAACTTAACTGTGAGTCCCTGTGAAAATTACAAAGGAAGCTAAATTCCTTCCGAATACAGTGACACAGAGTAAATGTTCAAACTCCAAGAGGGAGGAATAGGAGACTAGAAAGGAACTGAGCCAGAGCAAGACTCAGATGCAACAGGGTGAACGTTAAATGCTGTAAGTTCAGTGCAGTGCCCAGGATAGGTTTTGGTGAGATGTGAGCTCCCAAGGGGCTGGGCAGCCCCATCCCTGTGCCCTTGCTGGTTGCCCCTCCTGGCTTCTGCCTTGGATTGGCTCTGCTTGCTTTCTGTGGTTTTCCTCGCAGATGTTGACATTCCTGGCATCTCCAGTCCGCACTGCGCCTTTGGCTTCTCGCAGCTTCCTGCATCACCCTGTTAGTGGGACCCTGCCTGGTCTCTCAGGCCTTCCTCTGAATCTGGGTGGAAGCCTCCGTGCCCCCACAGCTCTTGCATTCTGCCTGCCTGAAAAACCAGCACCATGGGGATGATGCCAGAGTCTCCCACCAGCTCCAGCAGTAGCCAGGCCCCATAGCTACAGTGCTTGGGTGATTAAATTCAGGGCACCCTGCATTGTCTTCTCAAAGCAAAGCCTTTCAAAATTTACCCTTCACACTTTTGAGCCTATGATGGGTGTGGTCTGGCTATTTCCTGAGGTCCCTTCGAAGCATCTTTCCTATTGTCTGATATGAAGTACTTGGTTTCTTTTCACTGGCAGTAGTAATCTCTTTAGTAACCACACTGTCCTCGGCCCCCAGCTTTCCAGGTGCTTCTTTTCTGATGAAACTACAAAATTTTCATGGCTTTCAGCATCACTTTTTTACTGCTTCGGATCTGTTTTGACAGCTAATGAATGAATCGAAGGTTCTGTTTTTAAATTAAATTTTATATTACAGGATTTTTTCCCCTTTGATTTTATGCTTGTGTCCGCTTTTCTTATCATGAGTATTGCTTCCTGGCAGTGTTAGCATAAGTTGCTCGTGTGTGTGGTCCCCGCGGCTTCGTCTGCAGAGTGCGTTCCTGGTATGTGTGGTTGGCGCTCTGCTCAGGAGTTGCGTTGGCTGTGTCACCCACGTAGTGGCAGCTTCATTCTGTTTGCAACTTCAGGGATTTTTTTTTCTTTTCTATTTAGGTTTGCTTTTTGAATATATAAACATGTATGTGTATGTTTCCAAAGACAGAACTGTGAAATGTGGCGTATTTTAGAGAATTTTTAACTATATTTCCTTCCTCCCCCAAGGTTGTCATAAAGGGAAGTTTTAGGTTCTCTTTCGCCGTGTTTATTTTTATATACAACAGTGAAGCTATAATGCATTTGCATTTCCTTCCTTCTCTCACAGACAGTGCTGTGGAATGTGTGCTGCTCCATGCCTTGCTGTTCCCTCCTAGCACAGCACTTGTCCTTGCTCCGCCTGTGTGATGGCTGAGTGGTGTTACCTGGGCAGGGAAAGGTGCCAGACTCGCTCCCATGCACTCTGTGCCTGGTGATGGGCTGGGGGGTGGCCTGTGGTTTTGCTGCAACAGACGACACTGCCTTGAAAATGACCTGCGACCTCAGTTGCCTCCTGTTTACCGGTGGATCTTTGGGTTCGATTTCTAGATGTGTGCTTACTAGGACAAAGATAGATGCGTATGTAGTTCTTCTAGACATAGCTGTGATTTTACTGAATTCTGAGTAGGTGAATGTCACAGTCCTCCCACGTAGGTGTAGCCCAGTTTACTTTGCATTTCGATGATGTTGAAAAAGTCTCCTTGGTCACCCGCGCGCCCTGTCTTTGTGACGAGTGCATTATTGAAAGCGTCACTTTAGGATCTCTCGATTTGATTTAGTTAAACTGAGTACCACTGTAGAGAATACGAAGATGAAAAATCAGTGCTGAGATGGTCCTAACCCTCCAGAGAGTTCAGGTAGAGGATTCAGGACTTATTTTCTTCTTTTATCGCCTCCTCGTTCTATTTGTTGTAATTGTTGTCTTCTGTAGTCTATCAAAAGTTTGGGAAGTAGCCAGGCATGGTGGCACACGCCTGTAATCCCAGCATTTGGGAGGCTGAGGCAGGAGGATCACTGTGAATTCAAGACCAGCCTGGGCTACATAGTGAGTTCCAGGTCAGTCTCACTACATAGTGAGACCCTGTCTCAAAAAAAAGACTGGGAAGCATATCCTCACTGTTCCCCCGAATGGAGCAGGCTGCCGTGGGGTGGACGAAGGTGTCCTAACAGACTCCGTGGTACGCTCAGCAGATGTTAATTGAACATCTCTCTCTGCTGGAACATAGCAGTTCTCTCTCATAGTGCTTACATCCTGGTGCAGGAGATGGATCAAAACACAAGGAACAGAAATGATTGCCAGTGTACAGAGTCCACCCAGGACTTTCTTGAGGCAGTGCAGGGCTAGCTGACCCATATAACCCTACTAGAGGGGTGGGGTGGCTCCAAACTGGGAACCCCAAGTGCAAAGGCCCTGGGGCAGGATGCGATCTGCCCCACGTGGGAACTGGCCACACACAGTGAGCAGCAGAAGAGAGCGAGGGCTGGGTCAGGCAGGGCCTTGGACTTTAAGATAAGGAAACCATGGATGGTTTAGCAAGGGAGTGTTTGCTACCAACTTATCATGCAAATATTTTTTCTATAAATTAGAATGCAAATCACATATGAAGCATTGCTCTCCTAAATCAGCAGCATTGTTACTGCCTGATGTTTAGAGTGGCTCTTTTCCTGGTTATCCCCTTTTACAAGATAGCTGCATCTCGCACTGGGATGTTGATGGCCTCTTTCCTTTCTCAGTAGCATTTCCCCCGATGGCAGTTAGGTGACTGCAGGGCAGTTTGGGTTGGGTTATGTGCTCAGCCTTGAGCAGCAGCGTGATCTCTGCACATTTTCTTCTTCAGACCTGCAGACCCGGGAGACGGCCCTCGGGAGGAGAGCAAAGGGAGCTGCTTCCCCAGGACCAGAAGAGGTGTGTGGTGTTTCTGTCACGTTACAAGATAGACGAGGGCAGCAGCAGCTTTCCGGACAAAGGCGTTGACTGACTTGAGTTTCCGTTGCAGAAGACTGGCGCACCATCCTTTCTCTGGAGCAAGACACCGTCAGGGAGCTGCTTGTAGGGGGGCTTTCTGTCTGATGTGGAGGAGGTGGAGCAACCCTCGGCCAGCTGGGCCATCTCACCCTGCGCATCTGGGGACACGTCCGCCCTTTCTCTAGACGTGACGAGTCTGAGGTTGCTCTCTCAGAAGATTCTGGGGGCTCAGACACGCAGAGGTTTGCACATTGGAATGTTGAAAACTCAGGAACAAAAAGAAGTTCTGTGTGGATGAGTTGCGAGTTGATGTGGAAATAAATGTCACTTTATGACCAGTAGGAAGCCTGAGTGAGGGACACTATGCAGGAGGAAGCCTTCCGTAGAAAGACAGGCAGGGAAAAGCTTAGGCTGACCTTGAACTTGCCCCACAGAGCAAGCCTGAGATAGACTGCCAGCATGGCCAGATAAGAGACTTGGTGAAGCAGCCCTGAACCGGAGTAGCTGTAAAGAAATTTTCTCCTGTAAATCACGATACCAAATAGGAAAAATGATCTACAAGTGCCCCATGTGTAGGGAATTTTTCTCTGAGAGAGCAGACCTTTTTATGCATCAGAAAATCCACACAGCTGAGAAGCCCCATAAATGTGACAAGTGTGATAAGGGTTTCTTTCACATATCAGAACTTCACATTCACTGGCGAGACCACACAGGAGAGAAGGTCTATAAATGCGATGATTGTGGCAAGGATTTCAGCACTACAACAAAACTCAATAGACATAAGAAAATCCACACAGTGGAGAAGCCCTATAAATGTTACGAGTGTGGCAAAGCCTTCAATTGGAGCTCGCATCTGCAAATTCATATGAGAGTCCACACAGGAGAGAAGCCCTATGTCTGTAGTGAGTGTGGCAGGGGCTTCAGTAATAGTTCAAACCTTTGCATGCACCAGAGGGTCCACACGGGTGAGAAACCCTTCAAATGTGAAGAGTGTGGGAAGGCCTTTCGGCACACCTCCAGTCTCTGCATGCACCAGAGGGTCCACACCGGAGAGAAACCCTATAAGTGCTACGAGTGTGGGAAGGCCTTCAGCCAGAGCTCCAGCCTCTGCATCCACCAGAGAGTGCACACAGGAGAGAAACCCTATAGGTGTTGTGGGTGTGGGAAGGCCTTCAGCCAGAGCTCCAGCCTCTGTATACACCAGAGAGTGCACACAGGAGAGAAACCTTTTAAGTGTGATGAGTGTGGGAAGGCCTTCAGCCAGAGCACTAGCCTCTGCATCCACCAGAGAGTGCACACCAAGGAGAGAAACCATCTCAAAATATCAGTTATATAAAACGTTTTGCTAAGAGTTAAAAATCTTAAAACCCATAAGTGCCACTAGGAAGGAAACCCTGTATATACCACATTGACCCAAGAAAGATCTACAGCAGTCCCCAGCAGATTGTTCCTTTTGAGGAGGCTTAGGCGAGGTTCCTTTTTAGGCTCGTTGATTCATGCCAAGTGTGTTACACACCTGGACTGTGAACGTGGGAGCCCTCTGAGCAGGTGCCCGAGACCGGATCCTGCATCCCGTCACGGTTGTGCACTCCCGGGACCTGGCACGATGCCTCAGTAGTTGAGATGCTGCCCAAAGCCTGGGAGCTGGGCCAGGCCTCCTGAGCCTCTTCAGCCTGCTGTCCTGACACGTGCGATCCCGCCCTCCTTCCTCTCGGTCCCCGCCTGGTCAGTGTGTTTGAAGAGGGACAGCTCCCACTCCCAACATGTTTGCTATTTCTGAGGTTGCTATGTGACACGGCTCCAGCACCGCTTCCCGTTTGTCCCATTATTCCTCCGTTCACTTGTCCTCGTGTGTCGAGTCCCACCCCTTCCTAGATGGCATTCAGCTTGATTCAGACTTGAGGTGACGCATCACACCCACCCACTAGGCCTGTCAGGAGCCCTGGCCGGCGATCGTGCGCTGGAACGTTAGTTCTGTGGACTCTGGTGACCACTGTCTCTGTGGTAGACTCGCTAGTGGCTGCACCACGTATTTTGAACTCAAATTTCTTTGAGGGGGGATAGCTGAGTGTAAGCAGGAGGAAGGAGCGAGCAGAGTGTGAACCTTTGTCCCTCCAGAGTTGCTTTCTCTGTACCAGGGGTGCCCTCAGGAGAAGGGTAGGGAGCCACTCGCGATCGTGTTGCTGTTCTGTCACCCGGGCAGTGATGTAGAGGAGTCCTTGGTTCTGCGCACCAGCTCCTTTTTGGGCGTGAATGTCTGTTCTCCTGTCATTTGCATTCTTCATTCATTAAGCAAACATTGAACGCCAGGGTGCCGGGCATGCCCGAGTCAGACAAGGTCCCTGCTGTCATGGAGTTTATTTCTGGTGGAGGACACAGATGATAAGCAAGTAAACAAATAATGTAGTTTGAGGTAGTGGGTAAGTGCTATGAAGAAAATAAACTAGGGTGGTGATGTAGAGTGGGGGGTGGGGGTGGGTGGCGTT